CTGTGAAGTGTGTAGGAGAAAATGGCCCCATGTACAGTCTATGTTTGGTTTTCAGTTTTCTCAGTTATTTTCTCTTTTCTTACTTTTGATCAGCAAAACTCTGGTTACACCAAACTGGTTACCTTAATATTTGCTGTTTTTCACTGCGTTAGTTCACCCCAGTAAAGCGGACCATGCTTTCGAAGTCACCCTGGTGAATGGAACACAGTGGCAGTATTACGGCACACCTAACGTGGCAGGAAGACTTACAATGACGTGGAACAGCTCTTTGATTGGAGCGGAGAAGGTCAACATAGAGCTGTGGGGTTACGCAGAGTTTAGCAGGAGGATAGAGGCACAGAACAGATCTGCTCTGCAGGCCGAGCTGAGCTATCTGTACTCTCTCGGCAGGAATCTGTCCAACACTGGTGCCTTCAGCTTCATCCCCGAGCCCTCACATAACTGCTCTTGCTGGGAGCTGGGGAATATCCGCATCACTGCCAGTTCTGAGTCAGATGGAGCAAGGTATCCATAATACATGGTAGAAATATCTCAGCCTTAATAAAAGTATACAACATAAGAATACGTCGAAAGAAAACTTTTTTTTTCCGGACATATTTGGCTGATAGCAGGAAAAACTACAGACTTATTGTAATGCTGTTAAATTACAGTTACAGGCACACTCCCATAAGGGCACATAAAATTACAGGAACAGTGTTTGCCGTTTCAGGGATCGCAGAACCAGTAGGGCCAGTAGGGCTGGAGTCCTACCTACTTTTTAACATCAAACATGTAGAAATAAATTCTGCTATCCATCTATCTGTATGTAGAGTTTGACTGTCACATTGATTCCAGAGATCAGTATTGACAGTATCGGTCACAGGCAGCTAAAACAATTCAGCGACTAAACATTTCGAAGATTGACATAAAATAAATGGACACATTTCTTTTAAATATATTTGATTAATAGCAAGCAAACTGTGAAGACATGCTGCTTTTCATTGTGTTACATTTATGTACATTTAGTTTTTGTTGGCTTTTTTTACTGTTCATTACTGTTTTACTAAACAAAAACAAACAAAATCGGGTTCTGTGAAATTTAGGTAAAATATTGTTTGATTGTACAAAATATCACATACTTGGAACTTGGAAGTTTATATTTCAGAAAAAATCTGTGTTTCAAAATAACTGCGAGTGTGATTGTTTACTTACAGGGATGTACAGGCGCTCTGGAGCGAAGTTCATGTCTTAGCCTGGCACCTGGAGCAGGCTTTCAGAGATGACTCTGCTGTCTGGGCTGAGAAAAAGTGTCGGCAATGGGACAAACTGGAGAAGAACCTGCCTAAGTTCCTGGATGAGCTCATTAACTGTCCATGCACTCTGGCACAGGCCCGAGCAGACACCGGCAGGTTTCATGTGAGAGCTCTTCAATGAATATGGTTTCATTCATTTTTTTTATTTTTTATTTTATTTTTTGAGTTTAATAAGTAGTCATATTAGTTGCTATAGTAGCAGTAATTTCACTATAAATATTACTATAATTAGTGTATGTAATGAGAGAGTGAGAGTGACCTTCCCTACATAAAATGAGACAGTAGCAATAACGTGAGACCTTTGCTGGAGCAAAAATATGAAAGCAGTATAAGGATGCAAGAAGATTCTCCAGACTGTTTATTTAAAGCCATATTATAATATAATATAAGTATAATATTGGACCAAAAGTTGTATTGGGAAGTTTCTGTTAAAAACTGTGTTAGATTTTAGGGTCCAATAACGTTTAAAACACCTCCCCCAAGGCAGTCCTTGGATAACAAACAAGGATGTTGAAATCTCCAACAACAATACCCATCTGCTTATCATAGTCAAAGATACTAATAACCAGATAAATCAGAGCGAGAATTGTGTTTACAAGGTGACATTCGTAAATATTGCAAGTAAATCCCAAAATAATAATTGTGACCAGGGTTTCAGGATGTAAACAAAAGCACTGCAGTGACTCAGCTGCACTGTACAAATGATTGGAGTTCTGTCTAAGTCAACAGGATTGCCACTGATCAACAAGAATGTAAATGGTTTTTTTTTTTTTTCTTTTACTGAGACTGATCTTATTCCCTGTGTTATTTCAGACTGACTATAGTTGTGACATCGAGAGGGGCAGTGTGTGCACTTATCACCCAGGTAGTGTCCACTGCGTCAGAGCAATTCAGGCCAGGTAGGAGTGACACGGGGACAGACATTTTTACCTTCTTAAAAGTAAAAATAGAAGCATTTTTTTCACTTTCTGACATGATTTTATTTTCGTATTTCCAGTCCTAAGCATGGTTCAGGGCAGCAGTGCTGCTATGACAGCACAGGCACTCTGGTGCTGACGGGAGACTCGATCGGTGGCAGCACCCCAGACAGGGCTCATGACTGGGGCTCACCTCCATACAGGGAGCCGCCACGAGTGCCTGGATACTCCCACTGGCTTTACGATGTCATTAGTTTATACTATTGCTGCCTGTGGTCAAACCACTGCCAAATCTACTTCAACCATCGCCCTTCTAGTGGGTGTTGCAACTACCGGCCCCCAAGAGCTGGTGAGACCGTTTATACTGCTTTTAACACATCGCTGTCAACATGCTTAACAAATATTAAAGGTCATATAAAATGGATAGAAACTAATAATGAAGCACAGAGACAGACAGATTTCATGCTTATTAGTTGCTCAGGTATTTTTAGTCAATATTAACATCTGAAAATGAAACAAATGGAAAGTTGTTCCACTTATATGGAAAAAGGTGTGAAATTGTATTATTGTTATTATTGAGATGATTATGTATATCATAATTTTGGACAACATATGGATATTATATATTTTTTAACCTCAATCATGCAGGGTCTATTTATGGGTGATTATTAAATCTGGAGTGTGTCTTTATGTATTTGTTAATCTATATTTAACTGCATCTACTCTACCCTGCAAATGGACATTAGCATAGCAGGTAATAACCAGCTCGGTTTGTAAGAGAAATAAATGAATTACAGACTTGGCTGAG